CAGTGCGTCTAACACTGTGGTTATTACTGAGTCAGCTATAAAGGAGTTTTTATTTCCTGAATGTAAGCTGGCTATATTCACATTAAAATTCTCAGAAGGGTGAAGTACTGTACCTTAAGCACACATCTGAAATATGACAAGCAGAGGCAAGGCAGTTGTCTTGCTATTTAATTACTAGTTTTCTACTGGCAATTTACAGGTTCCTCCCAGTTGCCATGTAGGACCATGAAATAGTAGCTCAGATTTTACCTGAACTTAAACTCCTTGATGAACTGCAGTTACTTGAATACATTCCAAAATATCTGACTAATCTAAATACCTTGTCTGCTGTTCAGTTGATTTATCTCTAAATTTGTGCCCATCACCATCTGGGTATATCTGTAGAATTAATTTTATTTGCAAGCTCCTATGATTTGAGCAGCATTTTTTAATTGGTCTTTACCTAAGTGATCATAGTCTTAAATTTTCTACCACAGAACAGTCCATTTCTGGTTGGTAGAATGTGTAGAAAAATCTCTCAAAGCTAGTAATATGCCTCATTTATATAATAACTATAAAAAATATAATTCCTCTGAAGGGAAGAAATATTTTGAGGCCTTCATCTGATTTAGCTTGCAACTCCAAGGATGACTGACCTGTATTATGGAGGTTTGGTGCACAGTAAATAAGACCTAATTATTTATTAATAGATTTAAACTAACCTTTCATGAGCCTGTTTCTGCTAGGTGTCGGTTTCTGAGCCTTAATCTAGGCAAAGGCAAAAGCACTTCAGGGATGGTATGACCACTAGAGAACAAGGGTTTGTTTTTTCTAATATATGGAGTTCCAGAAAGCATAGTAACAGCTCTTAGGCTTTTTAAAGTCCAATTACAAATCTGAAATATTTAAATATTAAAAGGGGTAGCTCTATCTCAGGTACTTACATTAAATAGAAAGTCAAAGACAAAAAGGATATTACATCATGTTGTCAAATAAGGAACAGCTAGCTGGAGTGGATGACTTGTAGTGCAAAAATGTGCCCCTCCTCCTGTGAATTGCTTCTGAGATTTGTTAGAGATATGTGATGGCAAGTTGAGCAAAAATAAGCTGTGGATTTAAGGTAGCCACATTACTTCCCTTCCCAAAAGTGGTAAGTAAGTCTTAGGTTTTGGGTTTTTTTCCTCTATCCCTTTTCTTACAAAAAGGTATATAAGTTGCTGGTCAATAGCGTTGCCTTTATAAAATCTGTCCAAAATTTGTGCAAGCATTCAGAAGTCTGTACAGCAAATTGCTGTATTCCATATCTATTAAGTGAAACATTCCTTTATTTTTAATCCAATTCATCTCAAATATTTGATGCATTGGGTCTGGAAGAGCAGGGAGTGGAATAACAAGATTCTCTCTGTGATCAGTGATACGTTTTGAGCTAAAATATATGCAAATGCTTCCTATTTTCTAAATAAAGTACTACTGTGGTTATAACACAAGTACTTAATGATATATATCAGTATGAAGACTCTGTATTTAGGATGTTTTATGTAACTCAACTTCATCTCACAAAAATTTTCCAGTGTATTCCCATATACCTTCTTCACTACATACATAACCTACTATTTATGGATACATTTGACCATTTTCAGCTTACATATATCCATCTTATTATTAATCGCTCATCGGTTACAATCTAAAGGTACATTTTATATAGATAACTTGACATTTAGAATAATTCATATTCATTAATGTGAGCAGGCATGAATTATTAAAAAGTATCTCCTTTGCACATGCACAGTCACATTGCCTTACAGTGGATGGTGTTGATAGCTTCCTAATGAGCCAACAAACCTTTGAATGGCCTTGACTGGTATCTGCCCTATAGTAATGAGTAGCTGCAGTTTTAGTTTGAACTTACTTTCTTTTGAATAACACTAAAACTGTAACATTTGCAGAAGTGCTCAAAGTGCCTCAATCTTTCTCAGTGCTATAATCTAGGAATAGTGAGGCCAGACAAGCAGAGTAACCAGAAACACATTCTCTGCAAATGAATGGCAAACAAGTGTGAGATCCAGAATGCTGCATTACTGCATACTGTCCATTTTCTTTAGCAAATGTAGTTTGATTTTATTTATGGTTAAGCTTAGAACCTTAAATCTTTAAGGAGACAGGATTGGGTCAACAGTTACAGTGGAAACTGTTGGTGTTTATATCTTCATGACTTGACTTTTGTAATTATTTTTTTTATGCCAATCACTAGAAAATATTAGCCTCATGAAATATGTACTGCTCGTCTTTATAAACATTGTATAAAATAGTTTGTACTCCTCAATTACATGTGCTCATGGCTCCCTCTTAAGATGTTGTTCCTTCCAACAAGCTAATGTATATTTTAAAATACAAGCACCACCAACTCTCTAGACTCCATCGAAAAATTAAGTAGGTGATTTAGTGAAAAAGCACATGCCTTACCTCCCTTGATACTCCTATCTTAAGGCACAGAGAAGGACAGTTTCGTAACTGTCCATTCGCAACTCCCCACTGAAATGTCATGGCAAGTCACCTTCTATAAATTCACAGAGTTTCTTGTTAGAAGCAAGCAAGTTTTACAGCTATAAAATTTGTCTGTGCTGCATTTTTAAAACATAAAGAGTTGATTGAAAGAAGCTAAAATTACCTTTTTCCTAGAGCATGTAAATATTTAAGTCTATTTCAGAAGTTGAGCTTAGCATTCCAGAGGGATTTCAGAGGCAATTGCGCAACTGTAAGTCTTGAGAGCTGAAATTCAGACAGCATTCAGAAAGCTGACACAGTAATTGCTAGCAGTGGTTTTGGCGTGGGATCTGATGGAGGTTGGGCTTCTTAACAAGCCCTGCAAGGGTTGTATGTTATCATAGCAAGTACATTACATGCTCTCAAACTACAGCAATGGCACCCCCCTCTTCCTGTTTCATTTTTTTTATATCATAATCAATGTCTTCCTCATGGTCTTGTCAAATCTTGTACATGCACTGAGGTGGAGTACTATCATATGCTGACTAATCAGTGTTCTGTATGAGTGATTTTTCAACTTGTGACTGGTATATTATTTCTAAAAGTACTTAATTGGAAACACAAACTCCTTCATAGGCATAAGCCTCAAGTTCACTAATTCAGTCTCCTTAATTGCTTTTGCAGATTCATTGCTAATAGAATCTGTGAGGCATGGAAAAAATATCAGTGTTCAATACAGTGTGAGCTTATGTGATGGATGCTTTTTTTGTGAATTGTCCTAAAATGATAGAGCGTTATTTGTAGAATTGGTACTGTACTTGTGTGTGTGTCTAAGTCTGTCTGACAAACTGATTTCTCCAGTCTTCTGCTCTCCTACAGACAATAGTTCTGCTCACGCTTACAGAATGGGAAGAACAAACTGCTGTTACAGGACTACTAGAGATTTTTAACTCCTTTGCTAATCAGAACTATGTTACTGCTTCCTGGGGCCATATGTTTATATTTCATTTTACTACGAAAGCTGTAATTCCCATTAGTGGGAAGGGTCCAGCTTGCCTGTGTAATGTAAAAGTATCCAGGGTTAAGCTAGTTTTAAGGAGATTGTCTGAAAATGAAGAATAGTCTTTACTGAAATTAGGAGGAATGAAGCAAGTTGAACTAAGACATGTTCTACTGCAGCAGACAGAACACTGATCTGTCCCTTGTTCACTTATATTAAAGGTAATAGCCTCCTGTTGAGAGTTCTTCTTAAATGTCTCACTGGGTATCTGACAGTGAATAAGAACTCCCACTTCTGTTGACAAAAGCTTGATCACTGGTAGTCATGATCAAGAAGACCATCACACTCTTAAAAAGAATGTGATTAGGTCTTTCACATAATAGATGTATACAGTCAGAAGCTATTTTGAATATACTGTTTGCTTAGATGGTCAATACTGAACCAAATTTGAATTTGGAAAAGCATAGCAGGGTTGTTCTTTGTCAAGCATTTATAAAGGCAAACAGTGGTGTTAGATTGCAAATTAATCCTGGGGCATCTGGTTTACAAACAGTCCTGCTTAGGAGTCTACTTACCCCCCCATTTGCAAATAAGTATAATGGATCTTTCCTCTTAAAGGAAAAGGAAGATATATCTGCATAAATCTGTTTTTTTAACAGATTTAACATAATCATAAGCTACTACTTGTTTCTGTACCCTATTTTTTTGCAGTACCATACTGTGAAGGGGTTTTCTTGACATGTATACTGCACTGATAGAGCTGGGCCTCAATTGTTGACTTTTCTTTAGTAATCCTTAGACTATGATTACTTATTCAATATAAAGCAATTACCAACACATTTTTGCTGTTGTAAATGGGCCAGATAAAGCACTGTTCTAACATTTAAAATAAATCTGAATACAACAGGACACTTTAAGCTGAGATTTATTTCAAATCATAAAACCATAGAAAATCACTAGATTTCCCATTTGTTTGAAATAGAAGACTTGAGGCTGATTTAAAGTATCTTCATGTTTAAGTTCGTTAATAGTAGTTACTTGTTTTATGTAAAAGAAGTTCCAAAATTCTAATTTAAGTAGTTAGTAATAATTTTTATTTTAGCAAAGGCTATTTGTTAGATTATTAAAGGTAATACCTAAAAACAGAGCAGGCCATTACATATTGGCTGCACTGGAAATCATAAACTCTAGCAAAAAGATACAACTACAACTAAAGATGAATGCCTACTAGAAAGTTAGAGAGACTGTTATGGAAAAGTTATTTTGCCTGAATAACTAGCAGTTTATGTACAAGAGATGAAGTTGTTGATGCACAGTGGTCATATATCAACAGCTTTACTGAACTTTTTTTAATACAGTTTAATTCTGCAAGAAAACTTACCTGTTGTGCAGACAGAAAATACAACAAGTTTGGCAAAATTTTCCTATTGGCAACTATTAGGACAGAAGGCTGATTCCTTGAAATTGTAAAATCACAGATAAGGGGTGATCTCACCAAGTTTGCATTTCTGATATTTATGTCCTTCTCTCTTTTGAAGGAAATGAAAACTACAGGAAACCTGTCTAGGACTGTGATTTTCTAGGGTTGCAAGACATCACCAGAGAGCAGTGCACTATGTCAACTGCAGGAGTTGCTGCTCAGGAGATGAGAGTTTCATTAAAAACCGGATTCCTTCACACTAGTCAAGGCATGGGGAGTCTGAAAACATGCTGGGGTAGCCACAGTGGATTTGAAAAGTGAGTCTAAAATCGGAACTGTTGCATTTTCATGTATATGAGATGAGCATTAAGAATACTTGTACCAGTACTGACCTATGGTTTATTTACAGTGAAAGCTTTTTTTATTTTTTTAGTACTTTCTTTAACATGGACCCTATAGCAGTGGCATATAATCTGAATCCATCAACAGAGCAACATTTATCATCCCTTGGTAAGTATAAAGGCCAAAACATATGCATTTAAGTAGTGTAATGGATTTGTCTTGGAAAAAATCATCCCGTCTTCACGAAGACACTAAATGGTTTCTCAGTTTTTTTTATATAATGCTGCCCTCTGGTGACGGAAAACAAACATTGCAAGAAAATACTATGACTCAAGCCAAACAAAAAACCCAAAACATTTAAAATTATGTGATCAACAACCCCTCTTCCTTGTACTTGGAGACCTTTGAGTTGTTGTTACACTTCAGACAGAAAAGTCATTTAGTAAAATAGCACTTGTTTCCATCTTCACGGGGATCTTTGTAGCTTGGCTCTGGTCTGTTGCTTATGCTCGGGGCCTCTTGAACTACCACATTTAACTGGAGCACTGGCCTAAAACATAAGGTAGTCAGCTGCTCTCTCAACTAAAGGCATAAATCCACAACCGAAGAAGATGTATAGTTACTTCAGTAGCTACTGAAGTCATTAGCGGACATTACTTATTGTTGCATTAGAAGGAATTAAATGGTTAAGCCTGCAGAGGCGAAGTCATGTGCTAGTGTGTTACTTTAAAACGTGTTTCTAAGACTTTCTCACCTTTTTAGGGCACTCTTCCAACCCTGCTTCCACGAATGACCACAGCTTTGCTGAAAGCTGCATCCAGGTCCCATCTCAGAAATCCAGTCCACCTGCCCTAAGTCCCAAAAATGAACAGCTGATTTCAAAATATGAAGACCATCTCATTCCCAGCTTTAGTAAACTGTCATTAACCACGGGCTGTGTTTCTGAAGAAACACTTCCTCACATGCCAATAAAAAATGGGCCAATTCAATTTCTGTCCACATCTTCCAATGACCGTAGCTCCAGGCCACTACCCCCTCTGCCTATTTCTGAAGACCTTACTTCAGATGAGGTTGACAAAGAGGTAGAATTCCTGACTAGCTCAGATACTGACTTTTTGTTAGAAGATTATGAACTTACTCCTTTTAAATCCAGTACTCCGAGTCGACGGAGCTTTAGGGGCTGTGGACAAATCAACTATGCATACTTTGATACTCCAACGGGACCAAAACAAGAAGATGCCAACCCTACACAAAGCCTAAATGGATACATATCCAGTATTTATCCTCCTCCACAGCAGCTGCATCGACGTTTGCGAAGGTCCCATTCTGGGCCAGCTGGATCTCTTAATAAACCAGTAGTAAGACTATCTGGACACTTAAACAGGTCTTCTCCAAACTCTGATGAAGATAAACCAGAGATTCCACCAAGGGTTCCCATACCTCCTAGGGCTCTCAAACCAGATTACAGAAGGTGGTCAGCAGAAGTTGCTTCTAGTGCATACAGTGATGAAGACAGGCCTCCGAAAGTGCCCCCAAGAGAACCTTTGTCACGCAGCAACTCCCGTACACCTAGTCCCAAAAGCCTGCCATCATACCTCAATGGGGTTATGCCCCCCACCCAGAGTTTTGCACCTGATCCTAAGTATGTCAGCAGCAAAGCTCTACAAAGACAAAATAGTGAAGGATCTTCCAACAGGGTCCCTTGCATTCTTCCGATTATTGAAAATGGTAAGAAAGCCAGTTCCACACATTACTATCTGCTGCCTGAGAGGCCTCCATATTTGGACAAGTATGAGAAATTCTTCAGAGAAGCAGAAGAAAGTAGCTCTAACACAGAGGTTCAGTCCTGGCCTGGTGACTGCATAGCCACTTCAGGCCCAACAAAACTGGACTCAAAACCTAGAATGGACATAACTGGTCATCTGAAACGAAAACACCTGTCTTACGTGGTTTCCCCTTAGTCTCTGGGAGTCCAGTCTCAGCTCAGTTGCTCAGGATGGAGCTGAACTTTATCATGTTACAAAGTTCTTAAGGTTCTCAGATAATGAAGTAGGACCAGTTTGTCCTCCAAGAACTGGAAAGTGGATGGTAAAGTCCTTTTATGCTGCCTATCTCTGATATGTTTCTTCAGACTGTTTTTTGTCTTGGTATGTATAGCTGAAGCCCTACAATGATTCCAGAGAAACATATGGAGGGATAGTAGTCACAGTTGGCCAGTGATACGCTACCTAGATTAACATTATTTGGTAGTAATGTTAAAAAACAACAACTAGCTTTGCTTACTCTAGTCACTTATAAAGCTGACAAGAGAGCAGATAATGTAGTACATTTTGTATCGCGCATTTCCAAAATTTCTTTCACACAGTAACTCTGCTGAGAACTGACTATCCTCTTTGACTAGGATATGCAAACCTGGTAAGAAGGTAACTGCAAGATCTAATATCCACTTCAAGACTTGGCAAGCATATTATTGAAAGAGCATTTCAAAAGATGAATCTATTTTACAACTTAATTTGACACTAATAGACTTTTAAAGTGAGTTAGGTTTTGTGGATTCTTTCAGTTGCTAGACATACCTGGCTCAATTTTGCAGTTTTTACTAGGAGACTTGGACCAGCTATTGCTAAGTCTCCTGTGCTGCTCTTTTCCTGCTGGAGCCTAGAAATGTGTGAAAGTCCCCTGAGAGTGGCAGAGGATATGAGCAGCTATATTGTTGCTATTAGAGAGGCAGTAACAACTGCATGCTCACCTAGAGCCTGAAATTCTGGCTGTATTAAATACAGAAACATAGCACAAGCTGGTCTTGTGATTTTGGTTTCTATTCAGTATTTTAGGGGAGAAAGAGGGTATGAGGAAAAAAGATTATTCCATTTATGAACAGTGTCAGTCCCATCTCTCACTGCTTCAGATGCTGCTTTTTGCTGTTTAATTTTTCCTAACTGTGCCTCAGCAATCCACTAAAGTTCTCTGAGGTGCCACATTTGTGCATTAGCAGTTTCTCATGCTCATTTGGATTACATTTATCCTTTTACAGATAAGCACAAGAGAAAGGGTGCTCATTAACAGAGGTACAGAAAATGAACATGTTCCTCCTAACAGAAATAAACAAGCTGTTTACAGTTTAAACTGCTGAATGAGATGTTTGAGCTATTTTAAAGCTTACTTTTTGTTTTAGTATGAACTAAATGAAGGTGAAATACATGCTATAGAAATGCACTGATATTTCTGCATCGTGTACAGTATTGAATAAGAAAGAATTCACTTTGTATTTTGAATATTGTCTTGAGTTTAATAAAGTTATAAAATATTTATGGTACATTTTGGTTTTTGTTTCATTGAATAGTGCATCTGAGTTCTGCATTTACTGGAAAGCTCAAAGTGAATAATATTGAATGTGCAACAACATTGCTTTAAGATTTCTGCAGAAGTGTTCAATAACTCACATTGCACACCATTAATTTTAATTCCTCCTTACCAGCTGGAAGTATGGTATCCATATATCCTATAGGATTAAGTTATTCACCTGATCATTATTAATAACCTTTGTTATTTTTAGAGTCAACCACAGTATGTTGGGGACCATCATGCAGAGAGGGCAGTAGTGTTCCTGTCTTCAGTTTTCTCACCTGTTAAAAAAGAACTAAAGTGTACATTAAGGGTGACTGAAGACAAGCTACTCATTTTCTGAATATGAAAAAAGCCTAAGCATAACACGTTTCTTTTTTCTTAAGAGGAGAAAGAAATTGTGAATACTTGCCACAAAGCAAGTATATTTAACTGCATTGTGTCAGCTATGGACAAAGTTACTGAAGACACAAAGCATCACACCATTTTGATTTTTACCTGTGTATACATGTAAATATTTGTCTTTATCTGGCAGTGCGAAATCTTATTTTTTATGAATAAGCTTATTTCAGAATAAAGGAGGTTACTATCCTTGGAATCATACTCAATGGAAAAAATGTCAGATGTAGTTTTTCAGTAATGCCTAATTACTTGGCTTTTATTGCTGGCAAGATTGCTAAACCTCATTTATGTAGGTGCTTAAAAACCTACTGCTGTGCCATAGCACTGCTAAGAACCCACGCAGATTGGCCTCCAAAGCATAAACAAGTTATCTAATCCTGTGCAAGGCTGTTGTCTATAATACTCATCCTACTGAAAGCTCTGATTCCCCTCCACCTCCTAAATTTTTCTAAGGTGGAAAGAGTCAGATTGGTACTTGCAGCCTTCCCCTTAAATCTGAGCAGCTTTAACTGTAGGGCCCCAGAGTAAGATACCTTCTCAGTTACATGATCACTGCTGCAGCAAGCAGACCAGCATTGCTAAGCTGCAGCTTGTTCCTTGTCCACTGAGACTGAGCACAGACCCAGTAGTTCTAATTTCAATAGAACTCAGTCTAAAACCAAGCAACTGCCCTACAAATGTCTTCCAGCTTTTGCCTTTGCATCCCACTCCTGATTCTTTGAACCCCTTCTAGCCTAGGTTCCTGTGCTTGAACAGGCTGCTCTTTTCCCCTTAGCTGGAAGCTCTTGAATTCCCAAAGGTCTGACGTCTCAGTTCTGAGATGATGCAAGAGAAAATGACAACTGGTAAAGTCACTCTTGGATGGAAAATGTCAGCAATTAATGACAGAAAAAGAAAGCTTCCCCATCCAAATGCCCCACAGTAAGCATCTTCCCTTCTTTCAGTAGGATTGTTTTTGCTTAAAGCATTTAGTTAAAAGGCATGTGGCTAGTGTACACAGTGGAAAATGAGCCCCTCTTGACAGGGAGGCCAGCCCTGGCACTCTATTACTGGATGTATAACACATTCGCATTTGGAGTAAAACTGCAAGTCTGAGCCAGGTCAGTGGCTGAAACAGCCACTTGCTGCCAGGTCTCATTCACTGTTCTTTTTGTGACTACAATTATGGAAGAAGCTTTCTATCCTAACTCATTATACTTCACACCAGCCTGATGCTATTGCTTAGTATTTGCACAAGGCAAGCCAGACAGACTTCTAAAGAAACTAACAGTTGAACTTGACTTTGTTATAAAATGGGCTATTTGTTACAATTTTCCCAGCCCTGAACTGTGGCACTTTCACTTCTGCTAGCAGTGCAAGTTGTCTAGTCATTGGGCTAAAACCTTTTCTGTTAATGTTTTTACTTGCTCAGAACAAGATCTTTGAATAAAAACTGTTTTCCCATTTTAATGCTGAAAAGCTTAAAAATCTTATAAAATTTGTGCTTTTGAGTGGTCTTACACAACCTTTTCTGAAATCCCAAAAAAAAAGCCTAAGACCTTTAACCTCAATTAGAATTTTTCTCCTAGAAAAAAAGAGAATTTTTATACTCCTTTCCTGAAAGTACTAGTATTCTCTACTCAGTTCTGAGTATTACAAAATTACTCTGTAGGGATGCTCTTTCCTACTGTGTGTCAGCTGAAAAACCGCAGTGTGTTAAATCGCATTCCAGAAGTTAAATTATGAACTAAGTTCAGTGTAACTGTAACTAAAACAAACTGAACCTGAATTAAAGATAGTGACTGGAACTGCTTGGCTATAAGCAAGATATTCAAGCAGGTTACAGAGCTTACTTGCCTCTTAAGTATGAGGAAAGTAATTTATAGGCATGTCTTACAGTATTTAAATAACTCAGACATTTTTCCATTAAAAATCAAAATACTGTTGCACTGAAGATGTGGTGGTTCTCTCTAGGTTTTATGGTAAAGGGATCACTGACAAATGCAGGTGGAAATTTCACTTGTATATTCTTAGACACCAGATTCCTGTGCATTGGGGGACAAAGTCTTCATGATCCAAAAAACTGTATTTCGTTTTCCAAGTGACTAATCAAGGCTGTAAAGCTGCGGGTGAAGCTTTGCAAGTTCTGGCCAGAAGACATTTCTCTGCTCATCCCATGACCCATGATAAAACTTGTCAGAACACAACATGCTTTTGCAACAGCCTGATCACATGTTGGAATATGCCTCACCTGGGCAAGGCCTGATCGCTTGCCTCTGATGAGAAAGGAAGGCCCTTGTCCAATTTGACTGGAATAGTCACTTCAAAAAGCAATTATGATTTGATACACCAAAGGCTGAAGAGTCAATGAATTTGAGCAAAAGCAAGGAATCAAGACGTGCAAACTGCTCACCCTCTCCCCGTAGTCTCTCTCCTGCCTCAGCAGCGCTGTTGTGACCACCCAGCCACGTTACTTGGGTCCCACGGGCTGTGCTGGGGCACAGGGCGTTGTACCACAACAAGCTACTGACGCGGTCCTGCAAGGAGCCCATGATCACTGAGCAGAACTAAGTAAGACATAGCTTGCAGCAAAGCTGGTGAAAAGGAGTGGGGGGTGACCTCTCCCTGAGGTTCAAAACTGCTGATTTCAGAAGCAAAAGCACACTCTAAGTAACTGGTGGCAATAAGAAACACCTACCACATCTATCCCGCATTAAGGGTCAGTGTTGCCTAGTGCTGCCTGGCTGCTGAACGTTGGTCAAACACCCCCTGAATTGGTCACTTTCAGACTAGCAAATCAACCCAGAGGAGCCGAGTCTAGCCGATAACTAAAGGACAGGCTGTTTGCCTCAAGATACACTTTTCCCTGAAAGGAAGAGGCTGTATTAGTACCTGGTGCCTTGAAAAACTCAGTAGCTTAACCTCATTAACTTCCTCTTGGATAGTATCAGAACTAACACAACAGCTGTAGTGGGAGGTCATTGAAAAAAAAATAAATTTGACTGTCAGTTTCTCTTGCATCATAAAAGTTAAATCAAAACAGAAAATAAACCTGATTTGGAAGCATGCTGATTGACAGCATAATTAAATTCTACAGTCATTTTAAATTACTTCTAATTGATACTGCTGTTGCTATTAGTTTTACATTCACTCCCAGACTGCAATAGGCACAATTGCTACTGTACTGAAACTGCAGAAGAGTTCTCACTAAGATTGTATTTCCTCCTGATCCAGTCTTGGTTTAAAAGTCTGAGTGAAGTGATAAGGTTTGACATGATAAAGGAAAGCATTCATTTAGCCCAGGACAGAGACAACAATTTTCCAAGGGTAGTTATTACAGTAGGGAATAGTTGCTGATGCTGTTCAAACTAAGTCTTTTCAGGAATTCAGGGTTAAGATGACGAGCAGATCAGTCATGGTGGAATTCCCACCCTTCAAACTCATTATTACAGACTGTGGCCCTTATAAACTCTTTAAATAGTATTACAAGCTGTATGTTAAATCCATACTCTCTAGATTACTCTCAAGAAGGAAACTTGAGATGGAGATAACAAGATGCATAATTTTATCTGCTTGTAGGGTCTCTGCAGTTAGGTAACCTATTGATTTTGTGTGGGTGCATGTTGAGTGTTCCTGGGGTAAACTACTTTAAGTAGCATAATCTTAATAGCTTGCTTTCCAAAGCAGGTTATATTAATTTAAAACTGAAAACATACAGCAATTTTTCTGTTTCTCATAGCTCCTTAGCACTGAAAATCTAGCATACAAAGTTTAATTATTCTTATTATTATTTGTTAAGTAGCTCTGCAGAGGTTTCTGTCTGCTGAGCTTGTGATTAGCATTTGTAAGCTGAAAGAGGTCTTACCTCCACCCATCCCACATTGTAATTCAGGCCTTGCATAATCCCCGCCCAAATACCTATTTTCATCCACACAGGTAATTATTTTTTCTGAATCATATATGGAAGCCACACCCGTGATTGCTCATAGACTGTTGCTATATTATTTATATATTAGTGTGCACCTTGATCCCAGTTGCAGTTCATTTTGGAAAATGTGCTAGGTATTCCAAATTTTAAGTGGCAAGCCACTGAAACATGGGAACCATTACTGCTATTCATTTCCTTACAGAGTGATTCAGAGGAAGAGATGCTTCTGTGTTTAAAACCTGCAGCTTCTTGCTGAAGATTAAAACTGTCACTCACAAATTGTTAGTATGTGAAGGCCACAAAGGAAGAAGAGTGCAAATATGCTGCCATGAAACACCAGAGAAACCAAGCCAGATTACCCCACCATCACCACCCCAAATCCGCTCAAGGATGCTGACCACTGCACATTGAGACATCGTGATAAAATACTAAGAGGCTCTCCACACCAAGTCTCTGAATCAAGCACAGGATCACTAAGCCTGAGCCAGAAAGCATGATCTCCTGCTGCCACTTACCCGGGTGACAGAAAGGCATGCTCCTGTTACCTAAAATAATGTGTTTATTATGCTCACAACAAATTCAGGGTCAGCACTACTGAGTGCCCTTCTGGAAGGCGAGTGGAACCTACAATCACAGCCACTTGGAAGTCTTTAGGTGTAAAGGTCTTAGGGAACTTACCACATTCAGGGAAGTTCACCCTAAGGGTCTCATCAGCTCATGCCACCACACTGAGTCCAACTGCTGCATGTGGTACAAGGAAGACATAGGGAAGCAGCAAGTGGACCTTTGCAAGGTTACTCACTGACTTGCAATCCCTGTGTTGCAATTTACTGGGTTGCACTTGGTGACTTGATTTGTCACCTATCATGTTGACAAGTTATTAAAATTTTCCTGCATCCTGGCTGCATGCCCCTGCACTTACAATTTAAGCAATTTGAATTGGGATTATACTCTTATGATGCAGAATCTACATTGCTGCTGTGCAGTGACAGGCATGTGGCAAAGCAGAGGCCTCTAGCAACTCAGGGTAGAGATGAGATTATGGAGCATGCCCTGACACTCTACTGTCAGTGGGACTAAAATAGCCTCAACTACTTTGCTGGTGGGCAGGGAAGCTGTCTTTTCACACAGTACCTTCCCATCATGCTGATAAACACCAATGAACTGAAGTGGTCACTTAATTAAAAGCCACAGGGACAGACAGCCCTATCCAAGACACTCTTGAAACTGATGGCAGCAAGGCAAGTGCCAGCGAGCTCCTGCCTCACACAGAGGCTGATGAAGAACTGGTATGGGGCTCTGAAAACAACGAAAGGGCTGGCCTGAAGGAAGGATGAAGTGTTTAGATCCTACCTCCAAGTTAAATGGTTTAACACCATTAACTGTTCTGTTAAAGACTGATGATTGATTTGGCCATTTTTTTCTACAGGTTTTACCAGTCATATGATGACCTATGCTGGATTCAATACACAATAGTATTGTTCCATAGGAATGGCCAAGGACCCCACCACTCCCCAAAATACTTTTCCACTTAAGGAGCAGACTCTGCCACTCCACTGGGACGGAGACAGCAGGCACAGACAGCAAGCCAATCGCAGCTTTAGGTAACAATTTGCACATACCAGCAAGCTCAAGATTGCTCAGCCTCACAGGCTGCTGTAACAGAACACTGCAGGATGCTGTGGACAGCCTGCCTCTCCAGTCCGTGCTTCTCCTGTCACCTGAGCTTAATTAGACAAACTTAATCAAAAGCAGTCTCCACGATAAGAAAGGATGCTATTGTGTGCCCTGAGGCAGCAAGATGAGTAAGGCAGCAGATTTACAAGCAGGCCAGTCTACAGTTTAATGCCCAAGCTTTACATTGCAACATTCAGTCACACATAAGCAAACGACTAAAATACGGAACCTCGATCCTCTCAAGAAGTACAAAAAGATGCAGACTACTCTTGGCTGCGGCCCGGGAGAGCTCAGTGAGGCTGAATGTGCCCCCGACAGGGGCCCTACAGAGTGAGGCAGGCGACGCCAAGCCCCTCCAGCCTCAGCTGAGAGGACAAAGCCCGCCGCGCCCTGCGGAAATTCTGCCGCGGGAGCTCAGACCCGCTGCGCGCAGGGCCGGGGAGGGGCCGGGGACGCGCAGGCCCCGGGCGGGAGCGGCCGGGGGGGCCGGGGACGCGGAGGCCCCGGGCGGGAGCGGCCGGGGGGGCCGGGGACGCGGAGGCCCCGGGCGGGAGCGGCCGGGGGGGCCGGGGACGCGGAGGCCCCGGGCGGGAGCGGCCGGGGGGGCCGGGGACGCGGAGGCCCCGGGCGGGAGCGGCCGGGGGGGCCGGGGACGCGGAGGCCCCGGGCGGGAGCGGCCGGGGGGGCCGGGGACGCGGAGGCCCCGGGCGGGAGCGGCCGGGGGGGCCGGGGACGCGGAGGCCCCGGGCGGGAGCGGCCGGGGGGGCCGGGGACGCGGAGGCCCCGGGCGGGAGCGGCCGGGGGGGCCGGGGACGCGGAGGCCCCGGGCGGGAGCGGCCGGGGGGGCCGGGGACGCGGAGGCCCCGGGCGGGAGCGGCCGGGGGGGCCGGGGACGCGGAGGCCCCGGGCGGGAGCGGCCGGGGGGGCCGGGGACGCGGAGGCCCCGGGCGGGAGCGGCCGGGGGGGCCGGGGACGCGGAGGCCCCGGGCGGGAGCGGCCGGGGGGGCCGGGGACGCGGAGGCCCCGGGCGGGAGCGGCCGGGGGGGCCGGGGACGCGGAGGCCCCGGGCGGGAGCGGCCGGGGGGGCCGGGGACGCGGAGGCCCCGGGCGGGAGCGGCCGGGGGGGCCGGGGACGCGGAGGCCCCGGGCGGGAGCGGCCGGGGGGGCCGGGGACGCGGAGGCCCCGGGCGGGAGCGGCCGGGGGGGCCGGGGACGCGGAGGCCCCGGGCGGGAGCGGCCGGGGGGGCCGGGGACGCGGAGGCCCCGGGCGGGAGCGGCCGGGGGGGCCGGGGACGCGGAGGCCCCGGGCGGGAGCGGCCGGGGGGGCCGGGGACGCGGAGGCCCCGGGCGGGAGCGGCCGGGGGGGCCGGGGACGCGGAGGCCCCGGGCGGGAGCGGCCGGGGGGGCCGGGGACGCGGAGGCCCCGGGCGGGAGCGGCCGGGGGGGCCGGGGACGCGGAGGCCCCGGGCGGGAGCGGCCGGGGGGGCCGGGGACGCGGAGGCCCCGGGCGGGAGCGGCCGGGGGGGCCGGGGACGCGGAGGCCCCGGGCGGGAGCGGCCGGGGGGGCCGGGGACGCGGAGGCCCCGGGCGGGAGCGGCCGGGGGGGCCGGGGACGCGGAGGCCCCGGGCGGGAGCGGCCGGGGGGGCCGGGGACGCGGAGGCCCCGGGCGGGAGCGGCCGGGGGGGCCGGGGACGCGGAGGCCCCGGGCGGGAGCGGCCGGGGGGGCCGGGGACGCGGAGGCCCCGGGCGGGAGCGGCCGGGGGGGCCGGGGACGCGGAGGCCCCGGGCGGGAGCGGCCGGGGGGGCCGGGGACGCGGAGGCCCCGGGCGGGAGCGGCCGGGGGGGCCGGGGACGCGGAGGCCCCGGGCGGGAGCGGCCGGGGGGGCCGGGGACGCGGAGGCCCCGGGCGGGAGCGGCCGGGGGGGCCGGGGACGCGGAGGCCCCGGGCGGGAGCGGCCGGGGGGGCCGGGGACGCGGAGGCCCCGGGCGGGAGCGGCCGGGGGGGCCGGGGACGCGCAGGCCCCGGGCGGGAGCGGCCACCAACGGCCTCTCCTCGTTACCGGGAGCGGAGCCGCCTCCGGGCAGCGCCGCGGGGCAACACCCTCGGGGCCAGGCAGTCACTCTTGTTTTAATTATGTAAAGGACGTTCATGCTCCGCAGTTCTTCGAGGAGGAAGGAAGAACAAAAACCAAAACCCTCTTAATTTTGCCTCAAGGGAATTATTTTAAAATTGATGACAAAGCTTATGTCTCTGTAAGCCCATACAGGATCCTAGAGCTGCAGTATCCCCAGTTTCCCTGTACAAGCATTCCCTTCTGCACAACCAAAAGGAAGGTAGAGTGCTCCTCTGCAAAAGGCAGTGGAAGAGCAAACAACACAAGATCACCAAGAGAAGCAAGCACTGATGTGTGCTGTGTTGCTGGCTCTCTTGGACTGCAGTTCCCCACATACAGCAGATTTGATGTTAAAAATGCAAATGACACCGTTCTAATCGGTGGTCAGATTCATCTCTGCCCAAGGCAACTTGCTTCGTGTGCCCATCACTATCCTGCCTAGAAGGTGACTTCAGAGTGAGGGCTTTTTCCAATTTACATAAAAACATAAAAAAAAAAGAAACTGGGAGTCCAAGACTAGAGCTGTGTGTATGTGGAAGCAACACTTTCTTAGAACTCACTATAACTTTAAAATATTTCTATCTACAAAAGTAGGCAACTCCTAGAGTTGACAGTAGTTTGTCAAAAGGCAGTGGAAGAGCAAACAACACAAGATCACGAAGAGAAGCAAGCACTGATGTGTGCTGTGTTGCTGGCTCTCTTGGACTGCAGTTCCCCACATACAGCAGATTTGATGTTAAAAATGCAAATGACACCGTTCTAATCGGTGGTCAGATTCATCTCTGCCCAAGGCAACTTGCTTCGTGTGCCCATCACTATCCTGCCTAGAAGGTGACTTCAGAGTGAGGGCTTTTTCCAATTTACATAAAAACATAAAAAAAAAAGAAACTGGGAGTCCAAGACTAGAGCTGTGTGTATGTGGAAGCAACACTTTCTTAGAACTCACTATAACTTTAAAATATTTCTATCTACAAAAGTAGGCAACTCCTAGAGTTGACAGTAGTTTGTGTGCAAGGTGTGCAATTTAAAAGGTGGTTTTGAAACTAGAGACCAGTCTCCCAAAATAACGCAATGAAACTTCACAGAGAAACCAAACAGCTTAAAGAAGAGCTGTAACTACAAAAACCTCAACAGAAATATGCCTTTTAAGAGTTCAGCAATTCATAAATTCCTAAATTCTAGAAGCAAAATCCACAGTCTTTGAGAACTAAAATGCTGCCAACTAAAGAGCAGAAAGTATCCTTGCTGACAGCTCTAGAGCCAGCAAATGTCACTCTATTGCCCAGCACCAAATCCTGCTCCGTCAAAGAGCAAACACAGTGCCACAGACTGGCAAGGAGCAACAGCAGCAGCTTCTCCACAACCACAGAGCCCAAAGCACCAAAGCCCACAGCCCCACATACCTGAGCAAGGAGAGCCAAGCAGGGCCTGTGGCAGCAGCACCTTCAGGCAGCAGTCCAGTCATCAATCCAGCAGCCCTGAAGCTGAGGCAGGTCCAAAGTCAAACCGTGAAGTTCCCTCAACAAGTGAGATTCATCAGACAAAAGCAGGGCCTAAGCCTCAGCTTATATGGAGGTCCTGGGCCATAGGTGGAGGGTGCTGAGAAGGCGCAGGTGAGGCTGATCAGGACCATGATGGGGTCTCAGTGCCCACAGCTGCTGCTCAACCCTGGAAAGAACTGTTTCCAAGCTGTTTGAAGGAATGATGGTCAAGAAAAAATTTTTTTTGGAACTGGCAGAAAATTGAAACCAATTCTTTGGGTGTCCTGAAGTAGAAAGAACTCTTCCTCAAGCATGTGGTGGTGTAATGCACATTACTTCAAAACTTTACTTTACGAAAACATGGATATTTACCCTGGGCATTCCT